AATGCCAAGAGAGGCAAGAGCTAAGGACTGAGCCCAGGGAACAGCAGTGCCTGGCGGACAGTGGAGGAAACGGGCCCGAAGGGGGAAAGATTCCTTCACGGAGACTTGGAGGAGACAGGCCAAGGTTTTCTCTACCAAGTGCTCCTCTGTCCAGGCCTCATGGAACCTGGGGCCTCACAAGGTCTTCCTGCTGCCCCCCCACCCCAGGCCCAGCAGAGGTGGGGCTGTGGCAGGTTTACCAGGATCTCTGAGGCTGGCAGGGAAAGCCCGACCCAATCCCAGGGGTCCGGGGGAGCCCTGGGCTGGGCTGTGTGCCCAGCAGAAACAGCTCGGGCAATTTCCTCCCAGCTGGTTAGAGAGATAAGGGGGGGCAGTCCATCTGGTCTCCTGGGAGCTCCCTTCCCGACCACGAGACTACGAAGCAATGTCCAGTTCACAGCCGGACCTGAGGCTTCGGGGCTGCCCTGGCGCCTGCCTGGCCAGCTCTCACTGCCCAGAGGGTGGCCAGGCCGGAAGGTAGCACGGGGAGCCGGGAGCTCCACTCTGTCCCGGGACTCCCAGGCCTGAGGAAGGGCGAGGTCAGCCCCCACAAGGCTGGGGCGCGGCTCCCTGCCTACTTATTTATTTATTGCCAGAGGGCACGTGTGGGCACCAAAGAGGGACAGAGGGAGAGGGAGGGAGCACCCCTCTCAGGGGACAGTCACACCGCAACCCCTCCTCCTCCATGTCGCCCTCATTTCTGGATATTGGCCAAGCACACACAGGAGCCTGGCCTGTCTCTCAAGCCACTGGGCACAGTCGGCCATGGGGCACCTGGCTGGCTGCCTAACCACTGCACTGCTCGCTGCCCCTATCATCTGTTCTTTTATTTTTTTTTTTAGAGAGATTTTTTTTGAGAGAGATAGAGCCCGTGAGCTCGCTAGAGAGACAGAGAGAGAGGGAAAGTGAGAAATCGCCCCCCAGAGGGGATGGCCATGCCTCGATCCCTTTTCCTTCATTCTCCTTTCATGATTGTGGGTATGCCCACACATGCTCCTGGTATGAGTTTTAAACTGCTGGGTCCGGGACTCGAACCGCAGTCGACCGCAGGGGAGTCCAGCGACGTGACAATTACGCCAACTGCTAGTCCCCCATCATCTGCCTTTAATGACACTGGAGCTATGGGTCCAAGACAGGACAAGGCTGGCAGTTTCTGGGGCTGAGGGAGCCAGGGTGGTCCTGCACTCTGCCTGAGACAGGAGCCAGGAGACATACCTGGCAGCGCATCCCCAAGGTAAGCCTCCACCTCCCCCTTCCCTGAAGCCACCGCAGAGGCCCAGCCCAGCCCCTGACAGGCTCTGCCCCTCTCGCCCAGCTTGGGTCTTCAGGCAGCATCCCTCTGCACCCAGGGATCTGCCAGGTTCCTCAGACCCAGCCTGCCACGTGGCACTGCTCTCCTGCCCACCACAGCCTGGGCTTCCCGATCTCAGCTGGGGGCCGGGAGAGCTGCACGTGGTACAGCCGGAAAGTCCAACCCTGCAAGGCTGACCCCACGGAGGTCAGAGACCTCGGTGAGCGTGCCGGGCACACATGTACCCTTGACCTGGGGCTGCTTAAGGCTGGGATGGACCATGACCTCAGGCCCCCGTGACAGGTCTGTGTCTGTCTTTCTCTCTCTCTTGCTCATGGAAGAAAGTAATAAATAAAAACTTTTTAAAAGCCCAGTCTCAGCTGGGATCCGTGATGCCCAGTACGCCCCACAGGTGGGAGCTCAGCAAGTGCCCGCTGGACGGAACAGAGCCCGGTCACCCCCAGGGTGCACCCTGGCCCTGAGGGGGACCTGCACTGAGGGCAGTCTCCTTCCATCTGAGAAAGCAGGGAACCAGGGGGCCGAGGCCGCGATCCCAGTGCTGGGCAGCTGGCTCTTCTGACCCCTCCTGTCCTAGCTCACCCAGCCCAGTGGGGACCGAGACCCTGAGATCACCGCGGGGTGGGTATGTAACTCGGTGCCCCTATATGCCAGGCTTCGTGCTAAGGCCTTTACAACGTCGGGCACTACTTACGCCCATCTTGCAAAGAGAGAGATGGACTCAGAGAGGCCAAAGGTGGCCTGGGTGTGCAGAGCGGGACGTGAACTGCGGTCTCAGACGTGCCAGTCTGCGTCTAAAGCCCACGAGCACTCCAAGGAGACAAGTGGGGACAGCCATGCTGCCGGGAACCAAGGGAGCTAAGTGGATTCTGCCCCAGCTGTGCTGGAAATCCACCGTGTGACCTTGGGGAAGTCATTGCCTGACTCCGTCAGCGGGAATAATGCAAATGTCCCACGCCAAGGAGAATCTCTGCCATGGCGTGATCTGCCAAATCGGTGCAGGCATGATCCCCACAGCACATGTGTTCATGGCGTCTCTGACCCAAATCTGCCACCGCCCCAACCATCAGCTGTGGTGCATGGAGCGGGGGGCTGGGAGAGGGCTCCAGATCCGGAAGGTGGGACTTCTGCCAATAAAACAGGGGTCCTGGAGGCTGAGACCACCAGTGCAGTCTCAGAGAGGCAGCAGGAAAGGCACCCCCCCACACTGCCCGCTCGAGCCCTAGGTGGGCCATCTCAAGGAGCCCACCCCCTGCCCTGGGTGCCTCCGGGCTGGCCTGCCTGCTGCTGCTGCCACATCGTGTAACTTGGGCAGGTGGCAGGCAGTGCAGAGCGCCAGCAAGGTCACCTCTGCTTCGAATCGCAGCCCTTGGTCCTCCCCAGTCCTCCTTCAGGAGGACCCCACACCGGCAGGCATGGACAGCCACTCTGCTGCGAACAAAGGGAGCTCCTGCGTGCTGGCCCGGGCTGCTCAGACCCCCTCCTTCAGCCCTTGCATGAATAATGTTTGCTCAGAACCATGCTGGCCTGCCTGGCTCTATTCCAACTTTTTAACATTTATTTTTAAAATTCATAATAGCAGGACCAGCAGATGGCATAATGCTTACATTGCTGGACGCCCACGCAGTCGACCACGGTTTGAGTCCTGGACCTGGTGGCTTAAACTCATGCTGGGCACGTGTGTGTGCATGCCCAAGATCCTGAGAGGAAAATGGAAGAAAAGAGACTGCAGTGTGGCCATCCCCCTTGGGGCGTGATTTCTCCTTTTCTGTCTCTTTGTCTCTGTCTTTCTGGCAAGCACACACACTCTATAGTAAAAACCTCTTTAAAAAAAATTCATGGGACCAGCAGTTGGTGTAATGGCTATGTCGCTGGACTCCCATGTAGTCAACCGTGGTTCAAGTCTAAGACCCAGTGGCTTAAACTCTTGCTGATAAATCTGCAGATCTAGCAACCCTGGGCCCATTCTCACTTGGCAACAACAGGTTAGAGCTGAGGAGAGGCTGCCCATACGGATGGAAGATGTGTCCCCTAGGTGTCCCCAGTCCACCACACTGTCCCCCAGCTAGCCCTTTTTATCCATTCACATTCCCTGCCTGGTCTCAACAGGCTTATGAGTTTGCAAACCCTACAGTACAGTGAAGTGGTTAAGGAGGGCTCTGGGAGTCTACCAGCTTCACAGTGCAGGATCACCAACTGCCAACTGTGTGACCTTGTGTCGAGCACTTCGTCTTTCTGTTTCCTCAAGTCAAAAGTGAGATTTTATTTGCACTTTATGGGGCCCTTCAAGGTTTTGCAGATTTCAATGGGACACTGTGTGTAAAGTGCTTTGCACAGTATCAAGCACATGATTATAGGTCAAGAAATTACTAATACTTGTCCTCTTAGGACAGGAGTGCCTGCTACAACTGCTAGCTTATGTGCAACTATCCAAGATAGCCTACTAGTTCCTTACTCCCCTGGGGAAAGACCCCTTCCCCAAGAGGTCTGCTCTGACCACTCACCTCTTCCCACTGGTGAATGTATCGAATGAGGCGGGAGAGACGCAAGAGGCGCAGGAGGCTGAGGATCTTGGTGAAGCGGACGATGCGCAGGGCCCGTGCAGTCTTGTAGACCTCCGAGTCAATGCGCGTCTCCACAATGAGGAAGATGTAGTCCACAGGAATGGAGGAGATGAAATCCACCACAAACCAGCTTTTCAGGTATTTCATCTTGATCCGTTGCGGGTCCAGGATGATCTCAGTGTTGTCCTCCACCACGATCCCCGTGCGGAAGTTGAGGACCAAGTCGATGAGGAAAAATGTATCTGACACCACGTTGAAGACGATCCAGGGTGTGGTGTTCTCATCCTTGAAGAAGGTGATGCCCACGGGGATGATGATCAGGTTTCCCACCATCAGCAGCAGCATGGTCAGATCCCAGTAAAATCTGTCCAGAGACAGAGCAGATCAGTCGCCAGGACGGGGGAGGGTTACAGCCTAAGACAGGAAGCTCTAAGGAGGAACAGAGGGGAGAGAGAGAAGCCTCGGGAGGTCTGAGACACAACAGAGGCATGAGTTCCAGCACAAAATTGGAGAGCGGCAGACATGGGGTGACACAGAAATAGGCTCCTCTTCCACTCAGGACGCCCTCACCCTGAGCCCTGAGCTCGCTGATGGCAGGTCTCTTCTTCCCTCCTGCCCCGAGAGTCAGGCTGCAGAGCAAACAATGGCCTCCAGACTGAAGCAGGAGGCTGCATTAGTGACAGGGTCCCTGCCCGTCCATCCCCGCCCCACGCTCAGCCTGGGCTGCTCCAATTTCGCTGAGGGCCTGCAGTGGTTGGAGACAGGCC